TTGCACTCGGCTCCTGCTTGAGCAGAAATCAGGGTATCTTATAGGGTGAGAGGCTGTTAAAAAAAGCGACCTATTTAGGAGTTGGCTGCAATATCTAAAGGGCCTGTTGTACATCTATGTACATCAGCATCCCTCTGATTTTGGCAATATCAGCTTAACATCACTAAGGATTAACCAGGCTGCCAACTCCCATGGGATATCCACTGGACACCAAACGTGGAAGCCCACTGGTCTTTGGGAACAAGCACAAAGTCACGGGAAGAGTTTTCTGACAAGACAAAGGATGATTTACTGTGGCAGCATGCCAAGGCTCACCCTGGGAGAGATGCTTTGGGAATTTGCCAGTAGTTTGGCTACACCTCATTTGAAAAAAAATTGGGTGAGGGGGAAAGGAGGGGAAGCCAAATGCTCAGCCTCAGCAGGCAGCCGTTCCTCTCAACCCGCTACTGGGGTTGTAGAGAAGGAACGAATCCAACAGACCTGCTGCTTCTGTCAGTCTCTGAATTAAAAGTGGGGACAGAAAGACTGTGGCTCCCTCATGCCAATCAATCCGGTAGGGATTTGTCGGCAGGAGGATGGAGGGATTTCATATGGAGACCTCCTTTGGGGACAGCTGGGTCGCTTGCTGCTCTCCCCTCCTGGGAAGCTGCTGCTTGTTGCTTCGGGGGGGAACAACAGTAGGGCAAGGCTCAGCATGTCAGATGCATCATGCATGCCGCTTAGAGACCCTGGCAAAGTTCATTCTTCTCTTGGGAAGTGTAGGTTAGACCATCCCTTTCTCCTCGTGCCCCCAGCACAACCTAAAAGGGGTGTCAACTGACAAGTTCAACAGCTGAAGGCCTTGATTACCTCCTGATGACTTTTGATGTTCTCATAGAAAACCTCTATTCTTCTGAGTCAACTACACAAGCTGAGAGATCTATTTTCAGCATTGTCCCCACTTCTGCAGAGACACCTCTCTATCCCCGCATCCCCTCCTAGCTTTTGACCACTTGGGTTGTTTCCTCCTTTTCCTCTCACAATTAAGAGCAAGCCTGCAGTAGCAAGGCTGGCTGGCTCCTTCTCATCCGCTTCTCTAGCTAGGAAGAGCTGCTAGTATTCGTAATTTATAAAACACAAATATACCCCCCCCCAAGTGAATTTAGGAATCATCAGCCACAAAAAACAGATCTAAAATGGTGTTAAAGGAAGCTAACGAAGTTAGGCAAAGAGCCCAACCTGGAGATGTGCTTCCCATTGGAGCTGGGATACCAAAAACCTCAGAACCAAGCCTGGAGCTCTGCTCAGACTGAGAAAGGAACATGTGGCAGGGGCAGGAAACACATACCTGGGAGCAGAGAAATGTGCATGATACTCTCCAGCTTTTTCAGTATTCAAAAAAAATCAAGAAAAAGAAAAAAGGATCCTTTGGAGCAGGAGCAGGTGGCGGGTAGGTAGAGCATGGTGGTCCAAGTCAGCTTCCAGTTTAGAAACAAGTGTAAAGCATTTCAATGTTTCCGATGATCATAGACTTCTCAACTTGTCACCTGAATCCTTCCATTCCAACAGCGGATGTGCCTGTCCCTGAATGTTAACGGGGAGCAGAGGGAGCTGCTCCAGAGGAGACAGCCGCAGAAGTTTTCTCGCTGCAAATTCCTTCATGCCATTTTCTATTTGCATATTTTAAAGCAAGCTGTATTCCTCTGAGGATGAGAAATATCTGCAGCAAGACTGTGCCCTATTGCAAAGGAGTCACAAGTAGGAGACGGCATGGCCATAACGGATTGTCCTGCTCTGAATGTCCCACACCTCCAGTACTTTCCACCCCATAGTCCAAGGGGCAAGGCTAGTGTGAGCTTCCTACTTGTGGGAGAAGTGCCGATCTCTACGCAGCAGAGGTATTTCATTTCATTTCAAAGCGATGTGCAACACTTAAAGCCCACAGACACTTCCAGCCCTTTTTTATCTCCTTTCAGCAGGCACATTCTAGTTCTTTTCATTATAAACTCTGCAATTACTCCAACCTGGCTGAGGGCTTACCCATCCAGTTCATGCTGAAACCTCTCTCTCACATGCATTCTTGCACACTCACACATGCACACATATCCTAAGGGGGGGGAAGTTTGAAAAAGCCACTTTCTTCTGATGTTGGGAGATCTACTTACCAGATTGCTCCTCCCTGGGTGCACAATAAACACCACCAAATGTCAGGCTGTGGCAGTTTCAAGTTCAAGTTAGATCAGTTAACTTCAGTTTCCTTCTTAGTTATCAGAAAATTTGTACAACTCAGGGAGTGGGGTAGGAATCCTCGCCCTTCTGCGGTTCTGTACAAAGTACCCAGACACAGTCTCTTCTTGCAGGTAAGACACCATTCTTACCATATGCCGAAAATGGATTTCAGCTGTTGCTCACTAACTGTACCTTAAACAGCTCTATACAGCAGAGTTCAAACTATGGTACCACTTGAAGACCCAACAGTGCTTAGAAGTCACGGATCAGCAGCATAGAACAGCAGGGCTATGACAACCAAGGACAATCTGCAATGGTGATTAGCTCTGTGTTTAGCCAGCCAGTCTTCTGGTTCTCCCAGATTCTCTCAACTAGCAAAATAAAATGCATCCTTGCAGGTGTTGGCCACAAAGATGCAATTAAAATATTAGGAAGTTCTGCAGCCTTCAGAAGCTGGAGTAACAGATCATTATTTTCTACAATAACCTAAATGTGAAAGACAGAAGATGACCAAACTGAGGAAAATAACTACTAAATCTGCAGCCAAGGACATATAAACCCCTGCTGATATGCAACCATGCTGCAGATCTTGTAATAACTGAACTTGGAGGAACAGTGTTCAAATAACATTAAGAATAAGACTCAGAACTTCAACTCAGCAAAGTTTGGGATGTAAACTCTGATTCTCTCTACTCCCTTGCCACTTTGGCTTTGGGACTGCAGTATGCCTGATATGTAGAGCTGCCTGAAATCCAAAACAGCCTTCCTAGCCTTAAAAGTAGTGCCAAAATTAGTTGTGGATGAGCTTATCATTGTGATTCAGAACTTTTATGACTCTGCAGAGGTAAGTCACCGTGTCAGTGTTAGCTGAACAGAGTTGAGTTGTTAACCTGTTTGACTCCTTTTCAGTAACAGTTCAAACAGAAAACAGGAGTGTCACTACATGCTCTGAGACACTCTTTAGAACTGATGTAGTCTCTATGCTCAAGGAAAATACAGGGAGCTGAGTGCTCAACACTGCTGCCCATGTACTTCAGGAACTGCACTAGGTACTCCCCAAGCACCAGCTTTCCCTTCTTCCATAACTCCATCGCCTTCTTGTTTGTATTAGCTGTCACCAAAATGATTTAAGCCCTCTGGACTGCTCTTTGGGGACTCTTGGCCCAGCTCCTTGCAAAATTTAATTGGTGGAAAAAGCGCATCCCAAGCAATTAGAAACAAAGCAACTGCTTCCCGAGCAAAGTGAAGTTGATGAGAATAGCGTAAAAAAATTTCCCATCTGCCGAGTTCCAAGCTTAGAGGGTGTTAACAAAGCCTGTTTAAAACCCCTCCAGCCCAGAGATGAAGGGCCCCAATTTCCTACTGTGGGACTGGAGCAACTCCCCACTAAGGCAGAGGGGGTTATTCGAGACCTACAGGGAAGATCTGGGCCCAAGCCCAGAATGGCCAGGGACTGATTTACACAGTCTTTCCTGATCTAAATGCAGGCCTGCTGCAATTCCTTCCAGCTCTGTAAAAAGAGCTGTTTTCCCGCAGACCTCTCTGTCTACTTCAGAGACATGCAGAATTGCTTCTCATGTCCCTCCTCTTCAGGGCTATTTTTATCTTCTAAACAATGGCAATTTGCAAAAGCCTCAGCTAGAAAGCAAAGATCCAGCTCAGCTATCAGCAAAGGGACTAATCAGATGGTGTCCCTAAACTGCAATGCAGCACGCACGTACGCTAGAGAAGCACACCAAAGGCTCGCCCTCCAAAGGCTTTCTAGCAAGGCCAGCCCCAGAAATACTGCAGAACTGGCCTGGAGCCGCTGATAACTCTACTGCCTGTACTCATGGCCATACTCATTTTACCCATCTGCCATCACCAGGGGACTGTGCATTTGCTCATTCATGTGAGCAAAGTCTTACTGTCATGGCCAGAGCGTTTGTGTAGTGTCTCCACCCTAGGGTGGCTCGACCTTGAGAGTTCCACAAGGTTTTTATCAGCTCCCTCTTCCAGCACCCAGCTACAGCCTCTCTGAGGGGAGAGGGAATGGAAAGAAAGGAGCGATGTCCAGCTTTCCTCCTCACCTCAGCCTCAAACTTCCTCCAATTTACAGAATGATTCATAAGCCATCAGCGACACACCGTCTTCAGGGAGAACAGCAGAAAGAAGATGGTACAGACAATCCCTTTGCTAGTGAAATACTGCCCTGGGCCAATGTTTCATGCGGGCCGGGGGTGGACGGGATCTCAGCCCCAGTCCATCGTGCTTGGGACTTTGGCAGAAGAGAGTTTAACTTTTCATTGACTAGCATTCCCCAGCCAAGCAGATGTTAAGGGAGATTACAATACACATCCAGCTTCCAAAGGGTTAGCATAGCAGCCAGGAGAGGAAAGAGATGGATTTGGCTCATAATAGTCAAATTTCAAGGGTCCTCTCTCCACAAAAAATAGGTCTGCAGTCAGAACAGCCAAAAGCCACAGGGAGGTTGGGGGAGCGGGCTGGTCTGGCTGTTTTAAGTGTTTCTGTTGCTCTTCAGAGCTGAATGCTTTTTCAAAGGCTTAGCAATGGATATTGATTTCAGTCTGAGAGTAGCAGCCTCCTCCCCACCCACCCTCCGACCCACCCTGAAGTGACTCTCTCAGCAGGATGCACTGTGGCTATAAGTCTTCTGCTCAACAGCAAAGCAACACATTCTGGCAACATCTTAAATATATTCATAGGACACCTGTGACGGGGTTTGGAGGGGAACCAAACAGGGTAAAGGGAAGAGGAGTGAACAGGAAGAGGGGGACGAGGGAGGAAAGGGATGGGAAGGTTTAAAAATGTTAACTGTTCATGAAAGATAAAAGTCATCTTCTGATATAGCAGCACTTTAGCAGTCAGCCGCGCTGAGTAGACCCTGTCTGAGTTCAACCGCATGCCAACTTTGTTCCAGAAACAAGTCTGAGAGCTTCTCTCTTCAGCAAGTATTGGTTACGTGGATAGTTCTTTTGTCCTGGCATTGGCAGACAATTTAAATACTGCAGCTTAAATGAGTCCTGGGAACAAAAAACAGAACAAACCGAACAAACCCCATTTGTACCAAACATTTTAATGATTTAAAAGAACATCTGATTGACCAGAGCATTTGAGAAAATCAAGATGGCTGATCTGACAGCTCCAGAGCATCACTGTATATTTACCAATCAAACAGAATACAGGATGTGCCCCATGACAGAGCATTTTCATGGGAAAATGTCACTGTGAACAACCCCCTGCAGAAGCCTGTCAGCTATTCTGCCATTTTTCTCAAGCTACTGACAGCAACGGTGCATGTACCCACCAAAGTGGGCAATCATGCTATCCCACTCCACTCACATCCACTCTACAACTGACCCAAATATATGAAACATTTTGTCTTTCCCACACTGTGCTGGCCAAGACAAAAGGGTAAGGTAAGGAACAAACCAGCCAGGCTCTGACATGAACAATTTAACACCCATGCTGTGCTAGAAAGAATGATGGCTAAGCCCTATCAGTAAATGATTTTGCACCTTGATGCATCTCGATTTAATTTGCCTGGGCTTGTGCCTTGGTATCTCCTCCGCTAGCCAAACTGTTCTCTTGAATCAGTTTGCTGCAGAGTGAGAAGAATGGTCACCACTTCAGACGGAGGGAATAAAGCTGACGCTTCTTGGCAAAACCCTGGTGACAACTGCCCAGGGTCAGGCCATCTGCAATCCCTTGTTAGGCAGCAGCTGCTCTGCTTGCTCTGCAGAAACCCTCTTCCTTCTGGACAGCAGTGATAGCTGATTTAATTATTGATGATGATGGACAAAGGAGGAGGAGTTCTTCAGGGCAACTCACAGGCGCCACATGCCACAAATCCTAACATCAAGTCCCTATTCTATGGTATCAAATCCACTCCTGTCCTTTTACAGGACACTAATTACTGCCCAATCAAGATGAGAAATATTGATAGACACTGCTACACTGCTAGTTATTCAAGCAGCAAGCTTGCACTACATCCAGTATCACCTTTGGGTCTCGGTTTTTGTGGTGGTTTTTTTTTTTTTTTTTTTTTTTTTTTTTTTTTTTTTTTTTTTACCTGTGCGAGTGTGAGGTACAATGTAGTGTTATTTATCTTGAGATGTAGGTGTATGTTCTGGACGGGGAACGAGTGGATTCTGCCTGGGCAGCTGGGTCATTCAGAAAATCCCAGATGAGGATGGTGTCATCATGTGAGCTGCTGACAATCTGGAACTCGTCAAACTGGAGTCGAAAGACTCTTCCAGAATGCTCCTAAATGCAAGTGGGAGACACAGCATGTTATGTCACAAACTTGCTGGCACCTGGGATGGAGCAGGGAAGATGAACTTGGGCTTGGATTCTAGTGTTACATTCATTCCTCAGTAAAACCCACACGACGCACTGTGCATCACCATCCCACAGTGTAAATTAAGCCCTCTTTCAGTGAAAAGGGTTTTCCATATCTGAGTACCTGGCTCGCAGGAAGTTTACATTACAGTTATCCCATTACTCCTTATATCCCAATAGTGGACACGCACTGTGCAGAACAAACCAAGCTCGCTCCACCACACAATTCAGTCTGGTGAGGCTGATAGGAGCACTGTCTTCCTTGTTCCATGGTGAAACTCTTTCCTGAAATCACAGCATTCCCAGATGCAGTATGTTACAGGGGGAGAGATGAGAACTTTGCATTCAAGACTTGGCACCCTTGCCACTGCTGAAGAGGAAAGAGCTTAATACTGGAGGACACTAAGGAGCCTGTTGTAAAGTCCAGTGACACAGTAATAATTCCTCTTAAGCAGTTCTAAAAATATGAACTAGAAAGGGCATTCTTTACAGGCAGTTTGCATTCTGCTCTGAGGCTGAGTGGAAATGGCATGATGATTTGGCAAGAGTTCAGACTAATTAACAGGAGGTAATGGCAAGATCCTGGATATCACAGAGCAAATCTACTATGCTTTCCCTTTTGTGTTGCCTATTTTTTCCTGGTGCTTACATCGTCGCAAGAGTGAGCAGTGGCCTCCTTGGTCAGAAGGGAACAGAAGCCATGCAAGTAGAGTGAGCCCTATTCTCTTTAGTGCTCACATGTTGTAAGCGGCCAAGGGTCAGGAAAAAAACATGCTTTACAATATTTTGGTACTGAAAATACAGGTTTCTTAAATATTTAGACAAAAGAGAATTGTCAGCTAGTAAATGGGAAGCCTCTGTCTTATGGCACAGGGCTACAAAAATACAGCTCGGTTTGCAAAGCACAACACCTGTTTTAAAGTGAAACTGCATTTTAAAATTAAAATTAACTGAAATAAACACACACACAAAAGTCAGATTCTGTATTTAAGATAAATTTTAAAAAAGGTCCAGTCATTGGAACCTTTCTGATCTCCTAACCATAACTCAAATTTGTTTTAAAAACATCTTATGGGTTTACATCTTCCACCTATTCCAAAGAGAAATGTTTTTCCAGAGTCTGTGTTGTAGCAGTGAAGTAAGTGAAGTTCTTGCTAGAAAATAGCACTATGACAGTCAGATTCACTGAAGGACTGCTCACAGAGACACCGAGAGAGTTACTTCTAAAGCATTCCAAAACTCCCCTTTTTCTCCCAGTCACTGTAGGTTAAGTAAGGTTGCCTTAGAAGTTCCACACAGCACCTGCCCTTTGCTGTTGCAGTGGCAATAAACAGACTGCACACCCTAAGTTGGGGCCACAAGGACCTGAACCTCATAAGGAAAGCTGAACTGCGTGCTTATTCTGTGCCTGGAAAGCTTCTGTCAAATGCATGTGGCCACTGTTCCAGCTAATGGAAGAGAAAACTGGAAGAGACCTGGCATGCAGCGAGCATTTGTTATCTGTGCACTTTCCTCCTACTGTTTGAAAATTGAACACGAGCAGCAGGAGACTCACGATGTTCATTGTGCAGCCAGGTTTAATTTTGGAGGCCGAGGGAAGAGAAAAAAAAACCTAAACCATGGGTAAGCGGGTATAAGGACGCCCTGTTGTCATAAACATGAAAAGTCCTAAAAGCACCACAACAGCCACTTCTGCCCCCCCTCTTCTGGCCCCCTCCATCGCTATCAAACAGGGATTTATGAGTATCCATGTGTTGAGATTCCTATAGTGTTTCCATCCCACTGCTTCTGATTTATAATATAATTAGCTGGGGCACTTTGGCTGTCCACTGCTGGAAAATGCAGAGGAAATCACACCAGTTAAATTAAGTCTACAGGTTACTAGGCACACATTTGTCTCAGGCTGGAGCAGGAACACTGCTAATACCAAGCTGAAGTCTTAGACTCTCAGGATATGTGCTCATGAGCACAGAGTTGTTCTATAGTTTGCAACTGAGTGGCTGATGACAACGGGTTTTTCTGGATTTCAGCCATGAAACTATTTGCAGTTCTATTTGGCTAACAAGAAGGTTTTTCAACATAGTACCTGCAGGCATCCAAGGCTCTCACAGACTCTTACGCTGCAGCTTAGGGTCCAAATACATGACTGGAAAAGAGTTAGCATGGCTTAATGATCTGCTGCCTGTCAGCTGAGTCACACTACCCCTCACAGCCTGCACCAAATGTGAAGTAAAATACTTTAGTGAGATCTACAGCAACAGTAGCAATTCACGTGGTCAACGAGTGTGCAGAAGGGCAGCTAGCACAGCTCAACTGGTGAGAGGTAACGAGTTGTACAGGATCAGCCAGCCTCGCTACCATCTTGGTTTAGAGCACAGACTACAGTCACATGCCACAGCAGGAAAAGGTCTAACATATACCAACTCCAATACCGCCCAAACTTTTCTTATCTAAAAACTGAATAAATTTAGTACTTCTTTTTCAATGAGAATTTGGTACTAGACTGAAATCTTCCTTTATCCCCAGGGCAAGTGCTGTTAGAGCAGCAACAGTGCAAGTTTTTTGGAGTGAATGTGATGGAGGAATGCTTCTAGGAACCATCCCATGGCCTTGGCTGTACTGGCATTCTTCTCACAACCTTCCCATATTATTCTAAGACCAGTGCAGAGCCACTGTTAAGCATGACTGTGAATGTTGCTAATGCTCACACAATGACATTTTAAACACACCATCATCAGCACTAAGCATCAACGGACAGCATGAAAGCAGTAGTTCCTGTTTAAGGATTATGCAATTTCACTGTCTGTTCCAGTCCTTACCTTTTCTTTCCTTAAACATTCAAAAGCCAGTTAAAAGCAATCCAAGGGTGTTTTTGTTCCTCAAATTCGGAATGTACCACTTCAAGAAATCTCAGGTCAGCAGTTCAGACAACATACTACTACATCATTAACACAGGTTAAAATAAACCCACTGGCACATGGATTCCAAGAAGGACAAGTCTCAAAAATGGATTTAGTTATTAACTTCAAATCACAGAACAAAACTGTTAAAAAGTGAAAGAAACCTCCACAGGTTCTAATTTTTAATGCTTTCTAGCTTGCAATATTAAAAAAAAAGTTGGACACCCAAACAAGCCAGACCCCTAGAAATTATGTATAGATCCTGCAGACTGGGGCTAAACTCACTTGAGTTTCATGGCTCAAGGTAGCCCTGATCAAGCACATTCTTCTGCCCCCACCACCGCCCCTACCAAAAGCTCTTACCACAAGGGTTCGTAAGCAGAGGGTGCCTGCTGGAGCACGGGGATCCAAAGCAGCCACAAGATCCCATACTTTAATTTTCCTAGTAGTGAAAAAATAGACAAACACCAGGGCTCTGTTAGAAAGAAAAGAGCAAGTGCTCACAGAAAAAAATTAACTGTTAGTACAGCTTAGCTAATACACCACTTCATGGAAAATTACAGCAATCCTTCTGCTCCTGAGACCTCGTTCTCGCATTTCCCCTTTGTAAAGTTCATAGAGCTTAGCAGGAGAAGAAAATATTCTGTCAAAGTAAACCACCTAAAACGCAGGTGGTTTACAGAAACCAGCAGCAGGTTAACAGAAACACGTGGGAGTGCAGACACCTAGTCTGTAATGGCAAATGGTCCAGAAGGCACAACCACAGATGGGAAAGATTGCTCTTACCAGTGGTTCAGCTAGAAGAGGTTTCAGGTTGAGTCAGTCAGATATTCTTACAAGCTGAAGAACTGTACCACACACATCAGATCACACTGACTTATTTCAAAAGATGAAAAAAAGGTACACTTTGTAGCATAGTCCTGATTTACTGGCCATGAAAAGGTCCTCTTGGTATGACAGACATGGAGTCTCATATTTTATAAGGAAGATAGGGAAGTAGAATGTGAGACACCGAGACAGACAGAAAGATACAAGGCATTGACCGCACTGACAGCCTCACCCATCATATGCCCCGCTGACTATCCTCTTGTTATCAAAGCGTATGCATCTCACCAACTCTTCATGTCCTTCCAGTACTCGCAAACATGCCCCACACTCGATATCCCATAGCCTGGAAGAGAGTAGGAAGAAGCACTAAGAATTTCTGAATATCTGATCATTGCAACAAAACATTTGGTCTTTGCCTGTAGTTAATGGGAACTTGGAAATAAAGATCATGATGAAACAACAAAGAAGAAACAAACTACATTCATCACTCCTTTTCCTGCTCTTAAGCGGATGCAGGCTTTTCAACATGACCCTGTTATGTTACAGTAACACAGGGGAAATGAGTCAGAGATCCAAAAATTTTAAGACCAGTTGTGTCTAGCATCTACTGCTCTAGTAACACAGGGTATGTCCCAGTTATCTTCACAGTGAGCCTCGTAACTTTATTTTACTGAAGTCTGAAGTTGATTTTTCATAAAAAGTATTTTGCCTTGATTTTAAGATGTTAAGAGAGGAGACTTACCAATCCCCTTGGCAGCTTGTTCCAACTGGTAAGATCATCTTCACAGGGCACGCGCCCCTTTCTGTACCCCTACATGCCTATTTCTGATTTGGAGACTACCATCAGACAAATCAAGACATCAATACAGTGGTGAAAGGTACAAGAATTAACAAGCCCTTTTTATTTGTCATTTGTCCCACTGAAGGTATGTTTACTCTGTAACCTAAGCACCTTATGCATAAGCTAAAATGGACACTCTAGGTTCATTATTTTGTAATGCATTTTCTTCTTGCTCTCAAATAACTGCTGTGGCTTTCTGCTATCTAATAATCCAATATTTTTAAAAAAGTTTTGGCACCAATACCAGTACACAGTATCCCAGTAAGAGACACCTCTAGGTTTATTATTTTGTAATGCATTTTCTTCTTGCTTCAAATAACTGCTGTGGCTTTCTGCTATCTGTTTCTAATAATCCAATATTTTTAAAAAAGTTTTGGCACCGATACCAGTACACAGTATCCCAGTAAGAGACACAGCAATGTGTTACTTTCTCAACTGTAAATATACCAGAGTTTGGGGCTTTGTGAAGGATTTTTAGCATGAAGAATAAATCAAAATACATTATTTTTTACACTTACACACTACCTTGAAAAATAGTTAAGGAACACTTGAAACAGTTATGAAGTAAGTCTATTTGCTTTCCATACTTTTGTCAGCTCTTTAACATGATTCCCAATTACATGAATAAAGAAAGATTATTTGCCTACAAGAACTGAAATTCTTTGACATGTGTTGTCTCGAGGTGTTCCACCTCTGGCTGAGATATGCTCTGCTCATACAGGAATCTTTTAATAGCAGTATCTGCTGCAGCTCCCTGACACACAGCTGAAAGAAAGCAGTCACAAATGTTAACTGCTCATTCAATTAGCATTCAGGCTGACGTGAACTTCACAGTAGTGAGAAGAAATATGAGTTGTTTGTGGAATTTCTCTGGGTGACACATCTTGAAGCAGCACAGCTGCTGAGAGGTCAGGTCACTTTTTCTTGAGAGACAGACAAAGAAAGAGATAAACTGTCCCCACATACTTATCCCTGAGGTCCCCCAGGGAATAATCCAGATCCAGTGGATGTGTGCCCAAGGTTGGAGGATAGTCATTGCAGTTGTCCTGCCACAACAAGCTGCTCTCACTTTGGACAACAGAGGAATGAACAGAACTCTTTTGTCACTGTAGAACTGGGACAGGATTTGTCTATGCCCACACTTGAGGCCAACGAGGAGCATGAGGTGATTCTTAGATCCATGAAGTTGCTATTTCAGGAATATGTGAAGATCCCAATAGTTTTTATATGAGTATCAGCACACCAGTCAAGGTCAGAGCAAGCAACTCCATGGCAAAGGTCAGCCAAAGGCACTCTGTCTGGTCAGAGAGCATTAAGTCTCTCAAGGTCTGTAAACAGGATGGACAATGCCAGAAATGAACTGGTGCAGAAAGGTTTCAAGAGCAATCTTGTGCCAGGAACTTTTGTGCCATGTGTTTCTATTCCTTGCCATCAATCCTGTGATTGCCAGCAGCTCTGGGAGGCTGCATTGCACTAATTCAGGCCTGTATTTTCAGGTCCCAGTTTGAGGTTTTACCTGAATCTGAATGGGATTAGAAGAGATGATCATGTCCCTAGCCATATGGGGAACGGGCCTTCGTGTACAAAAGGGGTAATTGCTATGTAAGAGCAGAATCTCCTAGCAGAATCGGTGCCAAGGATATCTGCCAGATTTGATAACCTTCTCAAATTTCTACTTCTTTAAATAGTCAAAGGACCAAATAGTAAGAAAACTACTCTTAAGTCTTGAGAATTAACTAAAAAAAATCACTACAAAGTGTATGCAGTCAAAAACACTACCACTCTTTCTTCCTACAGCTTTGGGAGAATTTCTGGAAGTACAGGGGGGTCTGCAATTATCTCAGCGCTTAACTCACTTGAAGTCCTGGCAGAGTTGGAAGATGTACAGAAGGCAGGTGAGGCTGAATCCCCATCTCCTGGAGACAACACTGTTGTCTAAACAGTCCAGTATCAGATCCCCATGTGTGCACACACTTGAGGCTGAATACACACATGCAAATCAGCCACTCATTTAAAAATTAACCCAAGACAATGTAGTCTATTTTCTTGCTCTAAATTATCCTTTCTTTTTTTCTATACCATGCTTGTGTGTAGCAATTAAGAACTTCGAACCTAGAAGCTAAGATACTGAAGTGATTGGATTAAACTTGATGGACCAGTTTCTACCAGATGGAAATAAGCACAATGACAGCGATGCCTATGTAGCTGTGTCCCCTTACACTGGTGAAACTTCTGGCTTAACCCAAAGCCTCAATAATTTTTATACATGGGATCTCCCTACAGAAGAAAGATATTGATTTCTCAGCTACTTGATATGTCCTCACATTTGCAGTTGCAAAACTAGAAATCAGAGAGTCATCTTTTGGAAAAAAGTTTCCCTGCGATCTGTATCAGGAGGCAGCCTCTACTAAAGGCCAACACACAACATCTGGCATTTTACAGTGTATTAAAATCAAACATACAAAGCACCAAGCCACCGACAAAGATGACTTGGTAACCTGCCCTTTCTTAATCACCCTTCCACTGACTTGTGCCCTCTTCTAATGGCTGGGAAAAATCGATGTGACCAGGTAAGTCTTGTGCCTTGCCCACACAGCTGCCAAACTTGACTTCCATTACTTTCATTCACTGACAACGTTCCTGAATTATCTGTCAACTAGAGATTTTGTCCAATGTAAGCATAAAAGTAACTGTATTCTTCTCTAGCGCTATCACTATCTTGACATTTATTTTTATTAGTATTGCAAGTCATATTTTGGATCCTTCCCTAACTGTTTCAACATTTAACTACTTCTTACTCTAATTCTGAAACCAAGTTTCACAGTAGAATTGCAGAAGGTATTTTTCCTATTTGAAGTACAGGAGTTCTCACCATGTGTAAGTGGTACTACTCTTTCACAATGCCTGTAATACTTTTTCCCCTGATTAACAGACAGAAGTTCCAGCTCTCTTGGTTATGCTCTCAGACAGCCCTATACTAAAATCTGGTGATGTCAACCAAAGGATCACAATTTTCCTATAGAATGCAAAGCAGGGAGAGGCCGCATGTTGCAAGCAAAGTCCACAAGCAAACAGTAGCATGAATCATTCTCACTGAGGAGAAACTATTACTGATAGGCAAAGTGAAGGGTTTCTGCCTACACTGTCCAGTTTTCAAGTTTTATCAGAAGACAGACAATTATTTAAAGCAATGACAAATACAAAAGGGAGGCTGCTCTTACTCCTGTTTGCATGACAGAGCCATTTCCCGACATCACGTACACTGCTACTCAAGCTTGCTCTGTACGCCCCAAGATTAGTGGGACATCCCTCTGCCATCAGCTGCAGGATCTAGGGAGAAATCCTGGCTCATGATACCAGGAGGAGTTAAATCTCAGATTGCAACCAGGGCAGCTGGAGAAGCGCAAAAGGCAGCAAACTGAACTTCATGCTCTAAACCAGCTGTTCCAAACTTAACCAGGTGCCAAGTACCACAAGAAGAGTTTGGCAAGAGCCCAGGAGAATTTCTGCAGAGGATTAAATGCCTCTTACTCAAATGTGACCCCCTTTAACTAGACACATAGCCTAATTAAAATATCACAAGAGGACATCACAGAAAGTGGTACTTGCCAGCTCTTTCATACACCAGAATTGTCACAGCAATGCAACTTGTTGATTAGTATGGGACTCTTGAGATACAGAGGATAAAAGACAACACAGTAAAACACGCTTCTAATATCTCTTTCCAGTAGTTCCCAATGTTCTATACCAAAGAAAGCATATTTCAAAGACGGCAAGGGTACAGAACACTTCAGTTGCCTAACCTCTGCACATCCCAGGGAATCAGAGACAATATGCTTGCACAGAACTCAGCAACGGGGAGTGTGTCTCTCACCTGATAGTATTATCTGAAGAGCCGCTCACTACTAGCCTGTCTCTGTACTGCAGACATGCAATGCCTCGTTTGTGGCCATTTAAGGTGCGCACAAATTCGCAGGTACTAGTGTTCCATACCTGTGACAGGAATGGGGGAGGGAACCACACAGAGAGAAAATTATTAAGAGGATACTAACAAAAGCTGGTATCTGTATGATACATAGGTGCATCCAGAATGCTCTTAATTGAAGATGCTATTATTAAGACTGGGAAAATTACTGCCCTGACGACTTGTGACTATAGTCTGCAACTGTTAGCAGCTTGGGTCACTGTGTATACAGAAGATTTTTGCCACATTATATGAGAATTAACTTCCAAAATCAGACTTTAACACTCTTGGGCTATGATTTAGTCTACACAGGATCTTGATTTTCCTCAGTTTTAATGCTGCAGATTGGGATCATAGCAGTAACACTTAAGTGACTCCTACCCACTCACCTTCACTTTTGCCCCCATGCTGCCCTCTGACAACTGTTCGAATGATTGATGCTGAAACAGATTATGGAAGTGGTCAAGTCGAAAAAGAACACAGAAGAAAAGTCCTTTTTCAACTGCAGCTGTACCTGGATCTGATTTGCCATACAGCTCTGTAAAAAAGTTGTGCAAGCTCAACAGGGGAGGGACGAGTGGAAATGAAGAGCAGGAAGAACACTGCTTCTGAAGGAAGGTCTGTGTAATAATTGCCAAGGACCATCTTCCCTGTCTGGTCACTGTTCTTGGTTATTGAATAACCCAGTGCTGCCAATAAAAAGCCTTTGAAACTCCTCACCTTTATAGTTCTGTCACCTGACGCTGACACAATGTACTTGTCATCAAAATCCACTACGTTGACAGCAGCTCGGTGCCCTACTAGCACCCTCCTCAGGGTGATGTCCGTTGGTGAAGCCATGTCCCACACAGCAATGGAACGGTCTTTGGAACACGTCACCATCATGCCGTTATTGAAGCGGAGGTGCAGTACTGCTTCGCAGTGGTGGATCAGTGTATTCAGCATCTCGCCTGCATTCACGTCCCACACCCTGCAGTTTCAAATTTCAAATCAGAGAGACTTAAAAAACTGCACAGTGGATCTTCTGAAGAGCGAGAGAGGGACGGGGAGAGGTAATTGACTCTCTAGCAATATTAGAGAAGCAAACACCACAAGTTACATCTACATCTATTAAATAGTTCATTAAAAGATTTATTATATAAACCTGTTGATTATGCATATGCTGAGACAGTCCAGCAGCCAAAAACTCTGCAATGCAGTTAACATAATAAAAATAACCTAGACAGGAAAAAAGCGTTCCTTAATTAAGGGAATTTAGTGATGAGGAAAGGTATGAGATTGATGGCCTTAAAGACTGGTGTTTACTGGTTGTGTCAGCCTACCACACACTCCATTTCCAGTCAATGAGTACTTATCATGACCTGTGGAGAAGCAAGTTCAGTGACAGGTTTAATTTTTGACCTCTCCCACAGGACTATCAACTCAAAGGGTAATTTATACAGAAGCAGAAGACAAGATAATGCTTTTCAAACAAATATAAGTAATTGCCACAAGTTGCACCACAAACTGCACTTATCCTGCAGTGCATCTGGTACACAGCTACATTCCAGGAATGTGCTGAATATCCACATTAAGACAGAGCATTTATGTCAATTTAATGGTATTGGAAACCAACTGTTTCAGCTGAAAGATAATTTAAGATGAAAGTTGGACAAAGGCTTCATACAGAATTTCTAGGACTTGAAATGAAGATTTTAAGCCTTAAAAATCTTTCTTTTGGGCTATTCTGTTGGCAAACTTCTTTTACTATCTTTTACTACCTTTTACCATAAAGAAACTTCTTTTGGCACTATCACACCTGTATCCCAGGTACACTACGTGAGAGCAGAAAATGTCTGTATCATCAGGCACATCAGACATCGCAGGAGTTAAAACTTTCCCCTGCTAATAAGGTGAGCAGTAAGAAAGGGCAAGATGTGAGAAAGACCTCTAATGTCTTATTTTCTAACTTATGGAGGCTGAAGTGCAGAAAACCACATTCCAATTACAAAATGCAAAGGAGAAAAACCCACAGACTAGAGACTTGAGCCATTAACATATAAGCAGTTTGCAGACAGGGTTGCCAAAGTGAACAGGAGCTGGAGACCTACTGACTTCTTTGGACAAGTGCATCCCTGAGACCTCAGAAACATTAAGAGCCCATCTGTACTGTCTATTGGATGAAGTCCCTTTTCCTGAGGAGACCCAAGGATAAAAGTGATGCATCCTACGTGCCTCTGGGGTCTGCACAAACATTTACAGATACGGTGGGAAACAAAGTATTTCTGGGCAAGTAGCCAGTCTGCAATTTGGCCTGCCTGGCCTGATACGGAAGATGATAGTACTTGTTACAGAAATCAGCCTCTCCTTTGGCGATCTGTTTAGCACAGTGCAGTTCCCATACTGTCTCCAGGCAGGCAGTGTTGCCGAAATTCTGGATTTCTGCTAATGATAGGACCCCCAAAACTAGCAGCACCACCAGACTGCAATGCATCACATGTCAGGAACTAAATTTAATGGCCATTAGCTTAACAATGGTAGTTCACACGCAAGCATGGTGATAACCATGAGGAGCTTGCAGCCATAGGAACACATGCTAATAGCTTCAGAAAAAGCCACTGACGCAGCTTTTTGTTGTCTGTAACTTCACTGCATGGGCATTGCTTGTACTCTGACAAGAAGAGAATATATAACAACATGGAGAAGACAGACTTGCTCCTTCACATGCAAGTTCATATTGCAATTCACTAACTCATATGTGCCTGTATTTACACTGCAGGTCTTAGATTCTCTGGGATCCTGTAATATGTCTAGTGGGCTTCACATCTGCACAACATGCACCACAAGTACAGACTTGAGGTGTCCAGTCTTTTGCTGGAGACTGGAAGGAAAGCAAGGTTAGAAAAATTGAATGAAAAGAAACATCATGCTGAAATTTAATTAAAAGTCACAGGAAATCTAGTCATACATCTTTTGTTTAAATTAGGTGTCAATGGATGACTAAACTTTCAAACTTGCTTTGAAAACTTCAATCACTTTTAAAAAGTTATTCTCAGGGACTGTAAAAATATGCAAAACCTTGGCAAAATGCTAGATGGCCTTCCTAAACCTTCTTGATCTTGACCGGCCTTTGCTTAGGTTCTCATTTCTCCTTGACAGGAGAACATTTGCATGGACATCTGATACACAAGGACAGTACACTCCTGAATGAATACGCTTCATGGAATACTTCATGGAATACTACTTCATGGAACTGACTGAACAGCACACGTGTAAGAAAACATCATTTCAGCAGCTTGCAAGGCTAAAATCTTAGAGGCAAACAGAAAGCTCCAAACCACGAGCACACACACCTGACTGTTGAGTCTGAAGATCCAGTAATGATCACCCGTTCATCGTACTGGAGGCACAGGACAGAACCTGTGTGTCCGGTGAGAATTCGCTTGCATTCCAATGTATTCTTATCCCAGATCTAAGATAGCAAACATTCAAAACCAGACAGGTCAGTAAAGTTTTCATCTTTCAGCACTTACTGGTTTGACTGGTCTGTTTTTCACTACAACGCATCATCCATACCGCAGTTAGAACATCATTAGTGGCATCTGTAGAGTCTTCTACAGGCTCTTTGGTGGAATACATTAACATCTTTGATATTACTGGCTTTACTACGAACATTGGTTTTAACCCTTCTCATCAGGGTACAGGGCGCAGTAATTTCATAGCCTATAATTACTGTTGTACAAAAACTCTGCTAGTGAAGTCTGTTTGTAAGGAAACAGGGTCTCTCTTGCCAGGTAAGGGAGGCATACATGCTTTGTAGGTGGGAGATGGGGAAGGAGAAGGCTAGATTACTAACAAGAGATTGAGTAGCTGTCACTGAAATTAGGACACTATTATTTATGGCATAGACACTGTATGCTATTAGTATGCCATTTTGGAGCATTCTCACCTTAATAGTATTGTCTCGTAGGCCACTTACTATCTTCTGATCATCATACTGTAAACAATAAACCCCTTTGCTTGTCTCGCTTCGGCAGTGGATCCTCTGTAAACTGTGCCTTCCACACCGCCAGTTTGACTCTATTGTCTTGAGGAGAGACAGGAGACAAAAGAGAAGTAAAAATAAAGCATGGAACTATCTTTCCTTTTTTTGTTTGTTTGAAAAGACAGCAGATACTTTTCTTCACACTTTTTTCTGCAATCTGGCCTATACAATGACATAACTGGTTTCTAGAATAAGTAATACACGTAACAAAACCAATTACATGGACAAAAGCCTGGAAAACATATCGTGGCTCAACTCATCTGTGTTATCTGGAATGGTGAGTGAGGAGTGACCTAAACGATTTTTTTCTATCTCCAACTTTTAACTCCCTGTGACTCAATGACTAAACAACCGCAGAGAAAGTCTCAGTTGAGCTCTAGCTAAGTGCATGTACGAACTTGTCACAACAGTGCCCGAGCACTGCTTTAGCCATTAGGGAACTACCAGAACATGGCATTTTGCTCACACTAGATACAAGGCAACCATACTCCTGTTCCCCTGGGTCTTAGGATTGCAGTCTTTAGCAATGCACTTTCTCCCTGGCTCAGTTCCTCATACTTCCCCGTAACATCTTATTAGGTCTCATGTGCACTGGGTAGAGCAAAGTACCATGGAACAGAGAAAATTAAGATGGTATGGTGCTGCTGTGAAATCTGATGTGCAAGGTGTAGAGACTCCATCTGCAAACTGCTCATTGAACAATCTAACTCATTCTCTGTCTAAAGGAGCAGCAGAGCCTGGGACCTTATATATTTATCCCAGATTTACAAACTCCAAACACAAACACATCAGATTTAATGAAATATTTAATTAGAACAAAATATTCTCAGAATTTCAGCATCATGAATAAATGAGGGTGATTAAAACAAAAAAACCACCACCAAACTAATGAAATATTTCATTAGAATGAAATACTCTCAGAATTTCAGCATCACGAATAAATAAGGGAGATTTAAAAAAAACCAACAACCAAACATCACCACATCTGGAAGCTGTTTCTTACCTCTATGTCCTGTATAATTTTGGGGTAAAGCGCTCTGTAGAAGGAGTTGGGTGGTGCAGTCCCATCAGGAGGTTTATTTTTAAATAGATATTGTCCCCTGGAAGACAAAGAACACTCCCATTGAACACAAATCATGTTTCAGCATTTTGAAGAAAGGTCCTCCTGGCATTTTACAAGTGGGTAACAGACAGGTTCATATTCAAACTTAATTTACTCAGTAAGATGGGGTGGTTCCTTGTTTGTTTGCCCTGCAATATGTCAGTGTTGCATTCTGACACTGAAATACTCATGAAAAATCTGTGCCTAGTCACTCAGGGAAGGGAAATATATTATCTCTTATGGACATGAGCCCATTCAACTCAATAGGAGGTGAGAATGGCTCATGCCTGCAATGCACATACCCATATCAGAGGTCACCTTTAAAATAAAGTGTAAGAAAATGAGAGAAGCCAAGGAACCCTCAAGCTCACTATGCATTCAAGGTTAACTTTTATCTGCATTAGCAGGAACAGTATCAGTTTTGGTACATGGACATTTTACTGCTACTAATATATTTTGGTAAGCAACACTTCATCTGTGGTGCCTCTCTCATTTCAACACTGATTTGGAATACTCATATCCCAAGCTAGATTTTTGCTACAAAAAAAATCCATAAACGGCAATCACTACCCGCTGTGTAAAAAACTTTAATTCCTCATCCTGAAGTTAAGAAGCCACCAAACACGGTGTGGAAGCTAGTAAACCCCACCATGGGCGTACTAACTGCTGTTCTGCCTGGCAACATGCCTCAGAAAATGGAGAGAGGCACAAATGCCTCCGAGTGTAATCCTGGCATCAGAGGCACAGAGTTTACACTGGGCCAGCCCTCCACTTCTCCCTCTCTTGCTGCATTATGGCATAATTAATTGTCCAATACTTCCCCGCACATTTCTTTCTTGTCCTTTCCATGCAGTATACCTTGAAACTCATTTGAGAGACTGTACATTGGCTGCCCTGAAGTACTTGAACAACGGAAATCACAACAACGAACCAAAATTTTTAGATTATGAGGCAGTGGCAAACTATAGGACTGAAAACACAAAATAACAAATGCTCAAGAAAAGAACTTTTGATAATTCTTCAAATAAAGTACTTTAAGTACAACTTGAAAGGTGCTTTCCACTTTGGACAGAGCAATCATCTGAGTCCTCAAATACAGTGACTAGAAGCCACTCATATGGGGACAAACACATGTGAAGAAGGGACACATGGATGCAGGCAAACCACTACCTAGATGGTTGCCTATTTATTGTGATCCAGTCTGGAAGTGCATACATGAAAATTACAATTATTGGCCCAGGGAGAAGAAAAATGAAAATACACAGAATACCCAGGATACATCCTGGAAGATTTGGGGTATGTCTACAACAATCTGTATACAAGCCTATGTGCCTGAAAACCTGTCTATTGTTTCCAACTTTACTAGTTGATCAAATACAAGGTCTTGTTGCTACCTACAAGCCCTGCCTTGCTGCATGTAGAGTCAGTTGTTTACAGTTCAGCTAAAGGATTGCTTGGAATTTCCATGGCATCCCAGTGGCCGTTGTGCTGTGGCTCTGGGATAAAAGGAACTATTGTTTGCAGGTTTTGATGACTGGCCAATTCAATCAAGTATTCAGATGGACACAATTGTGCCCAGATTTTGGGCTTCTGTTTTATACTTCTCTCAATCCATGTAACCCTTACTGCTCCCTGACAAGCTGTCAGTGAAGGCTACTATGCTACGGAACTGGGTGTTTCTGTTGTTAACCATAAGCTGCAAATGCTGAAATCGGGCAGCCCATGTGCAAAGTGAGGAGCTGTAAGCAAGTAACACCAGTCATCCATCTTCTGAACTGTCCAGTTAGTCACCTCCTTGTGCCATGCGCAGCTTTAGCATTGATTACGAGCTATAAAGTTCTATATGACAGAGATGCAATTACACTGGACATTTCTTGTCTGCCTCTCTTAACCACCCCACCATGCCTGCAGTTGTATCTTTTAGAGCTAATCAGAGGGCAATCTGAAAGACAGCACCCAGTAGCGTCCAGGACACAGTGTAAACCTGAAGAAGAGGTGCAGTAACAGGGTGTGACTGTCCTTTGAGATGAGAAGCAGGATTATGCGATTGTTTTTTAGAAATGTCAAGTGTCTGTACGACTAATAATTGGTGGTAATGTTATTTCTAAAATCTGGAGGGAGCAACTTGAGAACTATCAGCTATGATCTCTGATAAGATGTAGAGAATAGGTAAAGTTCCACAGATCAGAAAAAAGAAAAATGTAGTTCTTGCATTTAAAAAAAGGGAAGAAGGTCCACCAAAGAAATGGTGGACCGTCAAACTCAACTTTGACAGCTTAGCAGTTCTAGACTACACAGTTAATCAGATGAGCACCTAGGAGATTACAAGGTGACCAACAACAGGCAACAGTGATCAACCCAGAATACACCGTGTCAAACTGACCTGATTTCTTCACAGGGGCTATTCTCATTACTTAGCAAGAGAAGTATGACTTTGGAAGAGCTCAAGAGTGGACATACAAATGGTTGGAAAGCACAGTTTACCGATGGTGCACTGTCAAACAGGATGGCAACTGGGATCTTGCATGGAGTCTGTCCTAGATGGGTCATTATTGAGCATTTTCATTAATGACAAAGAATGGAACAGGGAGTGCATTTATTACCTAACCAATGATACCACAGCTGGGAGAAGCTACAAGCACTTTGGAGGACAAGTTTAAATTCATAATGCTCCTGACAAAATGGGAGAAACACCAAATAATAAATAGAATCTAATTCAGTAAGGACAAGTTCCAAGTTCACCACTGAGTAATAACGTAAGTATGCAAAATGAGGAATAATGGCTAAGTAGCACTTCCACAGAAAGGGTAATTAATTTTATAACAGTATTATACCATCGTTAAAAAAAAAAACAAACCAACACACATGTTCTACTGGAAAGCATAAAATGGAGCGTCCTCTGTAAGGCATGCAAAGCAATGCTTCCCACACCACCAAACTCTGGTGATGCCTTGGCAGAAATAAGACACCCAGCTGATTACACCACTCTCCAGGAATCGAGTAGAGCAATCGGGGAGGGTCTAAACAGAGAAAACCAAGAATGACATGAGGACAAGAGAACACAGGCTTATGGTTGGTTAGTGCATCCAAAAATGTAGGAAACATGATCATCTTCTGACACAGAAAAGATTACTGCAGAAAGGAGAATGAGAAACTGTCCTGTGTGTCTGCGTAGGCTAAATAGAACATGCTGAACTGTAGCTAGGAAGACAGCCTAGATTTTAGGAAAATCTTTCTAACACTGAAGTTAATGAAATGGTGGAATTCCTTGCCCAGGCAGGTCACTCCATCAGTGCAGGTTTTTAAGAACAAGTTAGACAAACATCTGGGATGACTTAAAAGAAACCTGGCTCTGCCTTTGGGAAACAGGAGGGCCTAAATAACCTCTCAAGGTCCTCTTCAGACTTACTGTGACCTCAACAATACAGAGCAAAAACAGAAGTCCTGGAAAGAACAAGGCATTAAAAGGAACACAAAAGTTACTACTGCCATGCTTGTGTTTATTTTACACTCTTTATAAACATTACACTATTGGAAGCAGATCAAAATAGTATTTTTAAAGGATGCTTCATAATCCTGATTTACTCGCCTTTACTTCCTGAGACAAACAAGAACAAAATTAGCCATAAAACAGGAGTCTTTGTTTGCAACTCTGTATCTTTTTCTTTTTAATAGCAACCAAAATGCCTGAGCTGTCACTTTTATCTTGTTTATGAAATATTCATACCCAGCTTCCTTTCTGCCAACATCCTAGGGACACCCTTGGAAAAGAAAATTATGTATTAAAGGACGTACCCCTGAGAGGGAAAGTTCTAATGAAATGTTAACAGAGCAGCTTCAAACTTGAGTGAGACCCACATTGTAGTAAGGCTATTCCAGATGATTATTAACTAATCTATCTGCATTTCTAAAGTCCCCTATTCTCCGTGGTACCTACCCTCAGCTTCCAGTTTGAAAATTAAACAGATATCTAATAGTGAAAATCTGCTGAGGAAAACAAACAGACCTATCAAGGAAACAACTAATTCACAGCACATGCTGCCCCACTGCCACCCCTAAAAAAGCTCTTCTGCTCTGAACTGCTGACTAGTTTAGTGTTCCCCTGGGGTGCACACAGCTTCTTAATTTGAACCGAATGACAGCTGGGTGTAAAAATCTCAGCCTGTATATCTCACTTGTCACAGTGGGATAAGAGCACGATCAGATGAGGAAGGTGAGGAAAAAGCCCCCACATGGCCTGCATAGCCAAATGATGCCCTAATTCCCCAACCCCCAAATTTTGATTTAAGGAACTGTCCAGTTTGGAACCAACAGGATGTTTCAGGGTGCTAAATAACCCTCTTCAAACATGGTTTGAAACACACAGCACCTACTGTCCTGAATGGGGGCAAAAGAGGTGAAGATGCAGTTTCCTCACCATCCTCTCCTCTCTGACAACCCCCTCCACAGGGAGTCTGTCCTGACCATTCTCTCGATGAGCTTCTTCCACAGCATGCCGTCCGACGTCACCCGGTACCACTCCTTGCACACCAGCTCAGCAGCACACAACGATTTGGCATCCAGGTACGACAGAATGTTCTCAGCAATGTGATCCAGTCCCCGAGCTGGGGGAAGAGAAGGAAAAAAAAAAAGATTATTTGCTGGGGAGACACAGAGTTTAAAACAACTCCCCTTGCTAGTGCAGAGATACCCTCTCTTTCCATCTCCTCTTCTGCATGCAGAGCTGGACCAAAAATGCACAGAGAGCATTTGCGGCTAAGTTCAGGAGTGAACAGCATTCTCCAACTTCCTTTGGATATAACACAACAAGTCATTAAAAATAATAAAGAATCCAAGAAGTCATTCCAATCTATTTCGATGGGTTTTAGCACTAGGGGGATATTCTATGGATGGCATTTCCAACTCAGCGACGCAGCCCCCAAAATCTCTCTATATTAGGACCATTTCTCATCTCACTGCTACAGCTGTTCTCATGTTCCAACGGCTCAAAAGCTGTTTTTGCTAAAGCAGTAGCTTTTAAACGTAATGAAGAAAAAAATATATATTCCCAATGTGTGCCCTGAAGGGTAGTGGTACCTTTAGACATGGGGGAGGGAAAGATATGCAGATGCACAGGGAAGTCGAGAGGGAAGGAGAGGCTGTGTAAGGAGAAAGTGAAGCAGGTTTGCTAGTTTTGTTTATTTTAGTAGTGGAGAAAAAATGTGCACCAAAATGGTATAATCTGCAAGTATTTTCCAGTGTGAATACCAGGACTGGCTTTGTTACAACATGGCTGGAGTGAGATGCAAAGCAATTGCCTGGTTAGCACCAAGCAGTCCGATGTAATGTCTGCATAGCTGGGGGCCAGGGAAGGTTATGCTATGTTTCTTAACTGGATGGATTCAGTAAAAATGTGCCCTTACCCACCTAAATTTAATCACCAGCAAGACTTCAGAAAAATAGGATGCCTTTTAAATGAGCTGTAGCACAAACACAGCTTCTCTTGGAGGCTGTTTAATTCACAAGTGAGACACACCATCAAGAGATTATCTCACTTAGCAGGTCAAATTTCAGAGGCTTTGTGAAAGTTGTAGTTTAGACCCCATCATCCCTCAGGCATGACGTTCAGACCAACCAAAAAGGAAGCATGGCAGATTGGTATTACACGCATCTTCCCTGTGGTTCACATTTGGGACAGAGTTAAATACATCTTTTCTTGCTTTTAAAACAACAGCCTCAAAGACCAGGCCCTGCTTGTGACAGGGAAAGAAAAAGCAGCAAGTGCATTTTTCCAGTCACATGTCTGTACATCTGCAAACTCAAACTGGGTGTCATCAGCTGATTCTGATTAGAGTTCATGAGATACAAAAGGCCTAACCTTTTTTTCGTTAACTGAAAGATCTCAAAATTATCTTCCAATGCATGAAAATAAGAAAATGCAGCATGCCCCCTCTTGCTCCTTTTAAACATCCTAAATTTATAATAGACTTTGGGTGAGGCACTGTGCCCAGTGTTTTATGCTCCCATTCATACATAGAAAAAGCACGTGAATGATACCATGCACAGCCAGAGAGTGCAGAAAGAGGTCTGACATTTCTTATCTTTATAGATGCAAAATTAGATGCCAACCTGCAAAATAAAAGCATCAGCAGCCTTTATGATGTATTTAATCTGAAAAGATATATACAGTCACTACATAAAATTCTTTAAAAAAAAGAAAAAAAAGTGTGTTTGTCAATTTAGATTGACTCTACAGCAATTTGTGGAAAGACAGATACAATGTTTTAGTGAAAGTGAACTGGAATTTGCAGGAATTCCACAGTTTGGTAGGACAGACATGGACATTGTGTCCCTCTGTTTCCCCACCCTGACACCTGCAGTCCTGAGCTCTATCCACTGGGTGGAAATGATATATTTGCTTTCCCAGTCCATGTTGCTTCCAGTGGGCCCACAGACATTTACAGACCCACAAATGCCTGCCTGTGTAGGAGCCATAGCGGTGGCGTTATGTCAGCGGCGTCACAGCAAGAAATTATTTCATGTGGGGCACAATCAGTGTCTTTAGGAAGCAGGGCTACACTGCATAAACTGGGCACAATAATCTTCGCCCACAAGTCTGCCTCTGACCCACCTGCCCTTTCTGGATCATCAGTAGTCGCACTTTAGATCTTGCTGCAGTGAGGTGTCGTAACGACTTCCAGGACCGTAAGTCATCCTTTGCAGATCTTAGATCCTTCGCAGAGAAGGAATACTAATGTTTTGGCCCCTCCTCCTCACATTTATAAGTGGATGGGCAGAGCTATTTTGGCCTGGCAGCAAACTCAATTTTATTATTTTGTTTCTTGGGAACAGCACAACTCACTGAGACATATATCTAACAAAGCATCGCTTCCTTAAAAAAGAGAAATCTCTGCTCACAAAAGTTTTTGCTAAATCAATGTGAAACACGATTAGCCCTTCAGCTTTCCATACCAACAAGAATGTTTCAGCTATTTCACACATGAAACCTTTATAAAAATGATTTTCCTCATAAAAAATGTTAAACAGCTTGGAAATGCTAAGCAGAGACCTTATTTTTCAGAAACAGAACAAAGTTTGTTAAGTACACAGTTAAGCTGTATTTTTCAAACAACCTTAATTCTGTTCAAAGTACTGGGAAAATAACCTGAGCCAATTTTACCCTATATTAGTAGAACGTGCTCATGATCTAAACCTACCTTTAATTCTGGCCATTCTTTGGGACAGTGCTAGGAGGACAGAGATAAGATGCCTCATGATTTTGAAGTAGTTTTATTTACTCGAGGGGGAGAGCAGGAGAGAGAATGAAGGAGTAAAAATAAAACGAGAAAAACTGAACACTTGAGAATTTCAGAAAGCTAAAAAATACTTAGAGTTTAGGGTTTTTTTTATTATGTGACTTAATTTAAAAGTTTAGGTTCATCGCTCTTCCCGATACGGTTTCTTACCTTCCCCTTTCACAAAATCACACACAGAATCACAGAATCACTAGGT